AAGGCAGCTTGGGGAAAAGCGACTCCAGGGAAGAAGGGAATCAGATGGGACAAGGTGGTAGAGAAGGTTTGGAAGGAGATAGGAGACGAGGAGGAGACGTTGGACACGGAAGGGTTCGAGGGGTTCAAGACGAAAGTCAAGGAGATGCTAGAAAGTAGGGAGGAGGCAACCCTTCGGAAGAATGTACGAAGCGAAGACCACTTGGAGCTATACGGGAAGTTGAAAGAAGGGATAGGGATGAAGACGTACTTGGACGGCCCCATGGACTACGCGAAAAAGCTGAAATTGCAATTTCGAGTAGGCGATCTGGACTTGCCAGAACGGAGGAAGAGGTATACCAGCCGTAGGAGAGAGGAAGAGGAGGATAGACACACATGTCCATGTGGCAAATCGGAGGAGAGTAGACCCCACATAGTTGGGGAGTGTGAGTTGTACAGGAAGGAAAGAGAGGATCTCGAGGAGGAAATGAGACAGAGAGGGTGTGACATGGACAAGTTTGGTAAATTAGACAACAGCGAAAAAACGATCGCGATAATTGGGGATAGATGGTGGGCACAAGAGGCCCTAGAGGACGGGGATAAGATGTGCAAGAAATTTTGATGTAGTTTGTGGCAGAAACGTAAAGAGCTCCCAAATGTTGGTGGTGTCTCTAGTAGGTGTAGGAACGGTGCTCCGTCTCGAAAGGGACGCGTGGTCAATGGTCAAATGACTACGGCAAGCAACAAATGAGTACGCCCCCCCCCCGCCCCCCTCACCTAGGGAAGACATGCTTGAGTCACCTTTGGCAAAGTAGGAAGGAACGATTGGCCATCGGTGATCGGTTCTGTGGGAACAATGCTCCGTCCTCTCGAGGACGCGCGGTCAATGGTCTAACCACTAAGGCATGCAAAACATAAGAGTACACCCCCCCCCACCCCCCTCTCCCGTGAGCCTTCCATGCAAAGAACACAAAGTCATGCGATTACGAGTACCTCGGTGGCCATCACGATGGCCTCCTCCAGCTCGTCAACGCCCGTCGCTGCGGTGCCGACCCCCTCCAAGACCCAGCCGCTCTTCTGGCACTCCCGGCTCGCCAGCTTGGTCGCCACAAGAGACAAGACCATCTCGGACGGAAGCACCTCCCCGGCGTCGAGGAGCTTCAACGCGCGCTCGCCTGCCGGTCAACAGCAGCAGTTTGGGAAGAATTGAGGGGCGTGATACCCCACTGCAAGCTGGAAGAGTCGTTGGTGCAGGGCAAGGTGGCTAGACGTGAGAGGGGGGGCAAGATGCGGGACTTGCAGGCAGAACCCCACCCCCCCCGCTGGTTTACTGGGTGTTTGGTTTGTCGTATTAGCTACTAGCGGTAGGTGGCATGGCACCCCCCACGTGGGACGTATTATTGACGCCGAGAATCAGACGTTCGTATTGTCGTCGGTCTTTTTGGCATCGTACGTTCAGGAAAAATCCGAGAACTGTTTTCGGCTCCCGTTCGTGCTGTTGTGGAGGAGTCGGGTGCTTAAACGTTGCTCCCCGCGGGGGTAGGGAGGGGTCGGTGGTGAACTGGGCCATCTGCGGCACTCACGAGTACTCCCATTGAGACAGTGTGAGCCTGGGAACGATAATGGTTCCGAAGAACAGCAGTGCTCCGGATCCAACCGCTACGCGCAGCTAGTGTCCACCCCCAAAACCTGTGACACACCAACAAATATCACTATACCCAGGACCAAGTATACTTTCGTCCCGTTTCCATGTTGCCAACGCCCATCCCGGGGCGGACGCACCTTGCTCGGAGCCCGCGTCCGCCGCCGCTTTGGCCTCTGCGTCGACAGACACCAGCACGCTCCCGTATTTTGCCGCCATAGCGACCGCCAGCGTCGTCTTCCCCGCCCCCGGCGGTCCCAGGATGAGGACCCGCGGAGCCTCGCTGGCCTCTTCTTCGCCGTCTACGCCGCCGCCGCCGCCGCCGCCGCCGCCGCCGCCGCCGGGGCCGCCGC